GGCCCTGCCCCCCGCCGCCTCCCGCAACTTCAGGGGAAACTTTCTTTCCCCCCGCCCTTTTCCCCCTTTTTCCCCCCGTTTTTTTCTCTCTTTCTCCCCAGGGTTGCGCGTCCTCGCTGTTCCCCTCTCACCCAGCCCTGCCTCGTAGCCCTCAGAACGCCGCTCGCCCTCCCTTCCAGGCGGGGATGTTTTGTTGTGATTCGGTGCATAACGACTGAGGATAAAGTTGGGACGCATGTGCGCCGCACGGGGAGCGGGCGATATTGAGAGATGCCCCAGTCCAGTCGGTGCTGTTGGGAAGGCGGCCCAGGAGTTTGCACTTATTTGTTTTTTCCCTCCTCCTCCTCCTTTCCCTGTCTTGATTTAATAAAATTTCTAAGTAGGAGAAACAAAGGTTTGAGGGGCTGCCACTTTACTCGCTTTTGTTTACTTACAGTCAAGTTTTTCCTGTTCAGAGCAGGTGCGAAAAGATGAGAAGCGCGTTGTGTTGTGTGTGCTTTTTTGTCCTTTTTTTCCCTCCTTTATCCCCCCCCCCTTAATAAAACTATTACAGACAATTAACAGTAAACGTTATCTCCAAGGCTGTTCCTTTGGCTTGTGTTACCAAAAAGCCGATCTGTTTGTTACAGCTGCTAGGAGGCTTTAGTTTACAGTAGCATTCAAGTTTTTCCTGTTTTGAACAGGTTATGAAGGAAGAATGGAGTTTCCAGACCATAGCCGCCAGTTGCTGCAGTGTCTGAGTCAGCAGCGTCACCAGGGCTTCCTGTGTGACTGTACTGTTTTAGTTGGAGAAGCTCAATTCAGAGCTCACAGAGCCGTTCTTGCCTCTTGCAGTATGTACTTCCATCTTTTCTACAGGGACCAGTTAGACAAAAGGGATATTGTGCATCTGAACAGTGACATTGTCACAGCCCCTGCCTTCAGCCTGCTGCTCGAATTCATGTACGAGGGAAAGCTGGAATTCAACAGCCTCCCGGTGGAGGATGTGCTGGCTGCGGCCAGCTACCTCCACATGTATGACATTGTGAAAGTCTGCAAGGGCAAGTTGAAGGATAAAGAACTGTGCCCGGACGAGAAGATGAGCGACGAGGAGAAAGCGGAGCAGCACTTCCTCGACGCCGCCGCAGCCCCGGCGCGTGACTTCGACGCGGGGAGCAAGCCGAAATTCGGCGCCGCGGAGTACGACAGGGCGTCGGGCAAGGAAAAGGTCAGCAGCCAGCCCGGCTGGTCCTGCGATCAGCTAAGTGTCAGCTCCGCGCCGGCAGAGGCAGAGCCGTGCGCCGCAGCAGCTGGAAAAACAAAGGCTAATGTCAATAGTTCCGCAGGACCTTTGTCCCAAAGGTCTGTTAAGCAGAGCCTGGCTCCGAGCGATGTGGACTGCGCTCTGGATTTGTCTTTCAAGCCTGTGCCGGGGAGAGATTCCTTACACCCCTCCTATGTCTTTGGACAGCTGGCTTCCGACAGCCAGCAGCAGGGTACCGAGCCACTTGTTAAAGATGAACAAGACTTGCTGTCAGATCAGGAGGACGGCGAAGCCAGGAGTCCGGAGAGTCAGCATTTTGGGAATGCAGCCAAAAGCCTAGTGACAGGGTTAGGACACATGTTCACGGGGAATGGCAGCTCTCACGCGCGGGAGGAGGATCTGGATCAAGAGCGCGACGAGAGCGAGGACGACATGGACGCGTCGGACATCTCCTCCTCAGGTGTGCTCGTGCCTCCGGGGCACATCTGCGTGTGCCCCCTCTGCAGCAAAGTGTTTCCCAACCCGCACATCCTGCAGCTGCACCTGAGCTCCCACTTCCGAGACAAGGACGGCTCCCGCACGCGGCTCTCGCCCGACGGCTCGGTGCCCACCTGCACGCTCTGCGGAAAGACTTTCTCCTGCATGTACACCCTAAAGCGCCACGAAAGGACCCACTCGGGCGAGAAGCCCTACACCTGCGGCCAGTGCGGGAAGAGCTTCCAGTATTCCCACAATCTGAGCCGCCACGCGGTCGTGCACACCAGGGAGAAGCCCCACGGGTGCAAGTGGTGCGAGAGACGCTTTACGCAGTCCGGGGATTTATACAGACATATCCGTAAATTTCATTGTGGCCTTGTAAAGTCCTTGGTTGTCTGAGCCGTGTTCTTATTAACTTGTCTCTTTAATTTTTTTTTCCCCATGCTCCTTTCAAAACAAGACAGGAAGAAAAAAGAACAAGACAGCATTTTATTTTTCTTTCCTTCCTTCCTCTTTTTTCCATCACTTATTTAGGCAACATTCATTTCAGGTAAATGTTCTTTAAAAGATGCAGAGGTGTATGCTATACACTCCAGAGGCCTTTTAATGCAGTCCTTCCCCCTCTCCATCTCCCCTGCCTTTTCCCTGACGCCTTCTGTTTCCCAGCCCTCTCCTTTAGGTCTTTTCTCATGCACCTATGTTACATTATTAATGTGAAATGATCTAAGTGATTCTGCAAGGATTTAGCTTCTGTTTTTGGGCTGGAACCACTTGCTTTGTGGTCAGGATTTTTTTTTTTTGGTCTTTTTTGTTTTTAGCTTGGAGAGAAAAAAAGAGATTGATTACAAGTAAATCCTAGGGAAATACTTGGATTCCATTAAGCTCCCCTAGTGCATAAAATGTTCAGAGAGACACACTATAATTTAAATACATTTCAGGGTAGAGAAACTTGCTTCCATAACCTGGAGTAACAAACTGTGCTCTTCTATAGAACTAGAAGAGACCTTGAGTTGGCCCAAATTACAGAAGAGGTTGAGAATTCCCGGATGTGTCTTTGGTACTATTTTTTTTTTTTAAAAAAAACTTTTTATCATATTGGAATAGTTTGCAATCAGTCCTAAAATCTTTCATTCAGATTTTTGCCTAAAGATGAATTTTCCATGTGAGAGTACTTACATTTTCCTCTCCCACCTATCCTCCTCCCTGGCCTAACCTGCTGAAAAGCTCTGAACTGCTTTTGAACTTCAAAGGTGGATAGAAAAGAAAAAAAAAAGATATTTCCATTTGCAGTGTATTCACTCCTTAAATGTTGAAGGATGTGTGCTAGTATGTAGGAAAAACCGTGTGAGCTGTGACTGTTTTCTTTCCCGCATCAACATGATGGGGACTAATCCCGTCTGCGTTGGAAAATGTGCTCTAGTGAGTCAACGTGCCATGGGGTGCGAGCCGGGCGCACGGCGCGGCAGGAGGATGTAACCGAAGGGCAGATGCCGCTGAAGGAAGCGGGCGGGATGCGCAGCTGCTTCGGAGCTGATCCGGTTCCTTCCGAGGAAACTGGTCAGCACGGTGATAAGGAGTTAATCAATTCTTCCTTTTTTTGATTTTTTTTTTCCTTTTTTTTAAATTTTATATATATATTTTTATCAGGCTACTGGGTTTTCTGTGTTCAAGGTAACTAATACCAAGCAGGTTAGGAGATGCACTGCTGTCTCGTTTGAAAAGTTTGCTGCTATGCCCAAATCAGCAGCTTGCAATTTTAAATAAATGTATTTAAATAAGAAGTTGGTCATCCCTCTGCACCAAATTCTGTGGAATCCCCTTTGTTTCTAAGGGGATGTGTAACGATAAACCGCTTGAGGAAAACCTGGCCCTACAAGCATTTTCCCTGCCAGATCACTTACCAATCCTTCAGACATTTTCCCCTTTTCTGCCCCTTTCTCTCTTTTCTTTTTTTTTTCCCTATTTATTTATTTTATTTTTTAACTGAGGCTGCCTATAGTTATAGCTAGTTTCATCCCCAATGCAGTAACTTGATTAGCTGCTTAGAACAGCATCTTTTGGGTTGCACCCAGGAGTGAATATCAGACTCTTCCTTCCCAGGTAAATTATCTCTTCAAGGTACACGTACGCAGGGCTGAGCTACAGTAATAATATCCGAGAGGGGTTTGGCTGTTGTTGCACTGGGCTGAGCACTAGCGTTATTTCACCAGCTTTTCTGGCACTCCTTGTTTCTTAAAACATATGCCTCTTTTATTTTACTTTTATATGAGTGTGAAGCACTGAGTTAAATTCTTTTTTTAGTTATGCTTAAAACACTGTTTCATCTAGAAGAAGAAAGAGTTGTCCAATGTGTTCCCCCTCTGGCCCAAAAACTGAGCACTACCTACACAAATAATACAGACTTTTTTTTTTTTTTTTAAAGTACTTCCTCCTCGGAAAAAAATCAGGATATACTTGTTACAGCCTCCTCTTACTATTCATCTCTTAAACTATGAATGTACATGTAATGTGAATTTTTATTTTTATTTATAGTTTTTTTTTCTTGTTTAATCTCTCTACTGTAAGATATTTTTGCTAAACCTGTTACATGCGAAAGTTGTGGGAGAGTACTGTATCTTGAACTTAAGTGGCTTTGGTACTGTGGTCTTATTCTACTTAATCACTTGTTTTCCTCTTATTTGCTGTGATTGGAAATAGCACTGAACAAAATCTACTAAAATTAAGTTATTTTTCTTTCTACTAAAACTAAGTTATTTTTTTTCTCCTGAAGATACTTGATATAGTATTTATTAGATTTTTTTGAAGTGAAATTATTACTGTTAATCTATTTCAAGGCTAGTTAATTTACACTTCACTTTAAGTTTTATAGCAATGGTTTTGCATGTTGAACAACATGTAAACAGTTTAATGTAGAGTCAGGCATTACTGAAGCCGGTAATCCTTTAATTTTGCATTATTGTGACACTTCTTTTGCATTTCAGTCTTCAGTTACTCTTTCTTATTTAAAGAAGGTCATAAAATAGGATGTGCCATAAAACATCGTTAGGATATGGAGCAGGAAAAAAATTAAACAAGTTTGTGTCTGATACTAGTATAGAAGTATTTCATTACACTGATGCTATGAGCATGCTCTGTACTGCGGTGAATATGGGGCAAAAGTTTTTTTTTTTTTTAAAGTCTTTTTAATTCTTTACTACATCATAAACACACTGTTCTCATAGTCTGATATTTGTGTTCCCACTCCTCATAGCTTGAATTTCTAAAGTAAAGATGTTTGCACTTATTTTTGTTCTTAAGGTGACTTTTTTGGCTATCTCTGTGTGTGTCTCTTATTTTTAAGTTGCAATAGCTCTGAGCATGTTTTCAAAATGGTTCATGACTCTACAGAGAAGTACTAAAAACATTGCACACTTAAGCTTGTCTTTTCATAAACTATTTCACTGTAGGGCAGTAACTGTCTCTGTAGGGGATGGTCTTGCTCTGCATTTTAAACACTGGATTTGTCTTCTACTACAAACAAATACTGTGAAGTTAATGTAAAAAAAATCATTGATATTTTTAATTGTTTTTAATCTTGGTGCAGTTCAGATTAAATATGTATATTTAAAGACACTAATTTTTGTGGGAGAGTTTTATAGTATACAGTATGTAGAAAAGCTATTGGAATGGAATATATTTTATAAAAATGTTCTATCACTGTTTTATAGTGAACTATTTTTTCTTCAGTGTTAGTGTAATACTGTTAGCCTAGATATGACAATCGCAGAAAGAGTGATTTAAGCTGTTGTTAGCGCTTAGTTTTGCGTGGAGTTCTGTTTGCAACTGTATTGGTATGTGCTGTAAAATGTGACAATCGTGACTAGGATTGTTGTCTTTATAAATTTACACAAAATAAAATGTGCTAGAGTTGTAAACTTGAGCCTCCTCTTCCCCCTTTCTTCCTCTTAGTGGAAGAGGTGTGTATTGTGTGTATACATTTTATTATTATTATTATTATTATTATTTGCATGTATTTGTATGAGTTTTCCTTTTCTCTCCCTCTGCCCTAAATTAGGAAAGATGCAGCCTAAGGAGCCTTTCTTCTTCAAGGTCCATTGGGGTTTGAGACCTCTGAGGAGCAGCCATACGTCATTGCAGAAAGACCTTGACCAACTATTTCCATACTCACTGGACGTGACTAGAAACCACCCTGTTTCTGTAATATAACTGCATTAACAGGGAGGTTTGAGTGGATGTGAACATCTCTCTGTTGACTTGAAGGAGCTTTGGTTTAGGCTTTGTATGAGCAATTCTGTTTTACAGTAAAAAGTACATAGAAGCAGGTATCTTCTTGCTGTGACCACCGCTGAAGACAAGGTAGCTAACTCATATGTATGGGGTTTTGCTTAAACACCTGGACATTCGTGGCCTCGGGAGCCTTTGGGTCTGGCCTAGCTGCTGCTAAAGCTGGTGCTAAAACTTTGGTCGGGTTTAGTTGGAGCTGGGGTTGGGCAGGAGGAAATGGCGAGCTGTGTGTGCCAGCTACCGGGCTCGGGTATGGTTTTGCACCGGTGCTTACAAATGCTACATCTTCTATAAGTATTGCTTAATCTTATGGAGTCAAAATGTCTTGAAATGGTGCTGTTTTAGGGAAGGACTAATAATATTTGATGCCGGTGTGGAGGCACAGTTATATTCCTCCTCCGGCTCCTGCGTTATTGCACTAATCCCGAGAAGTGCATGTGTTCCTTGTGCTGAAGCCTGCTGCCTGCCTCGCAGAGCTCCTACCTCCATCCCTGCTGCTGCAGGGAGGCCGGGAGCTGCTGGAGGCGCGGGCCGTTCCTGCAGCATCCAGCTTGGGTGTGATGAAGTGTTGGAAACCACTTATTTTTTTTTTCCTCTTTTCTTTAGTGTCTCTGCAGTTGGGGGAGGATGGGGGCTTCTCTGCAGCTGCTTGGTTCCACTGATCTGCGTTTTTGCTCTCTTCCACCCTTCTGGACATGTGGATGGAGCCTCATAGGTGTTTCCCTTCCCCGATAACCAGCTATAACTGTCTGACTCTCAGTGCTGTGCTGGGGAGGGGGCACAGGAGAGGCAGCTTTCTTTGGAGGGCTCGTGTGTGGGGGAAAAAGTGAGCTCAGAGCTCAACATGTGGGTTAGAAGGTTTGCAAAGAGGCTATAAATAAATAACCATTTGTAGCTCGAGGAGGGCAGCTCACGTCTCCTCTGGCATGGGCCTGCTGTGCCCATTTTCTTTGCTGATAACAATTGCTAATGTGAATTCTGGCACTCCAGGTCTTGACGCCTGTTGTTTTGACAGCATAATTAAATCTTAGGAATGTGGAATATAAAAAGCCTTGGGAAGAAACCACGGTGCTGAATAGGTACTGCAAAGGGCTGTGTGCACACACTGCAAAGGGAATGGGATTGCTGTGGAC